GGAGGGACGACATGGCAGGAACGAGGGAGAGGGAAATGAGATCTGCAGGAGAGATACGCAAAGGGACACAGGAGTAACTTACATCTTAATTTGTCCATGATCTTCCCTCCACACAATGTGGCTAAAGCCATTTTGACAGCAAATACTGAAATTTTGCCATGGCCTTCCCTGTTTAATGATAAAAGAAAAAAAAAGATGTCATTTGGAGACCTTCCAGTAATAAGGTTTGACATTTTCTGTTCTGTAGAATTTATAAGACAGCTGTATGCATTATGTAAACAATCCATTTTAGCAAAGGTTGTGAATACAAGTCAACACACATTTCCAAAAACTGTCTAATCAGTGTTTCCTTTTTTCAAGGGCTAGCAGACTCTTCAAGTTAAAATCTGTATATGTCAACTTGCTCAAAGCATGGACTGGTAGCCAGAGGGATATGTGCCATTTAATGACATAGCATGATTAAAATGACATATGGATAAAAATGACAGAACATGATTTTCACTTTGGGCTTCATAAAATAGTTTTATGTATGATGATTCTACCATTTCTACAATTTATTTAAACACTGCTTCAGGAAAAAAAAAATTTTTTTGTCAGAGAATTCCTGAATTTTGTTAGAGTAAGTACGGGGACTTTCACACATTTTTTTTTCAACTATCATTTCTTTCCCATAAGCCAACTGCACTTATATTGATACATTTACTTTTCAACGGGAGTTGGTATTTTAAAGGGGTAAAAGTAAGAGCTCTGTTGGAATAGCTCTCCTACCTAAATGATACCAGAGCTGCCAAATCTCATTGATTTCTGAAGTATAACTAACTTGCCCTTCACAAAATGTGATACAAAGGGCGTAAGAAGCATAATATTCCAGCTAAATGATTTTCCAGTTGGAATAAACTGCTTATTCCTATATACTTGGAATCAGAAAGTGTACCATATTAGTAATTCATTGCTTTGATAGTTGCTACTCTTAAGAACGATCATCTTTGTTGCTGTCATTCTTAGCAGAGTATCTGAAAAGCATCTAGTCAGAATGCAAAACTGACTGGACCCTATGCTAGTGGCTCCCCTGTTGATATTTCTAAGCCTGACCACAAGCCTTTTGTAATTATTTATTGAAAATCTTCACTTGGATACCTCATGTCAAACCAAGTGTGTTCAAAATAGAACTCATCACCTTCACAGAGCTGTCCCATAACAGTCGAGCCAATCCTACTACAAACATCCCCTTCCTCCTACTGTCCTTCTGGTTGGTAGAATGACCATGCGCCTAACTACCCAGAAGTGAACCCTGGGGTGGGGTCACCCTTGGCTTCTTGCTCTCCCTCAATGCACTACCACCCCAAACATATGTTGAAGGGACTCAAATATACCTCTTACCTGTATATCGAACCCACCCTCTTTCCATTTCCATCAGCTCTTGCTTTAACACTGTGATAACCTCTTAAATGATCTGTTTGAATGCTCATATCACAAATTCGACCGTATTATTCATTACATAAAACCCCCATTGCCTCTGTTTGCTTAAGGATTTGGTTTTAGCTTTTTCTGTCTTCTCCAGTCTTACCGGCTACCATTTCTGTTGCACTTCACACCACAGTCCCTCTGTTTAATGTCCCTGCCTTCCCAGCACGGTCTGCCCAGGACTTCCCTACCCATTTCTCAAGACCCAGCTCAATAGCATTACTCACTCTGCTCTGAAAATAGGCCCCCTCCTCCCCCGATGTGGAGGCAGTCTCTAGCCCTGCTCTTTTACCTATTATGTGGTAGCTACACCATGTGACCTTGATTTGTTTATTTACATGTACGCATTCGACTCAGCTCCACCCTGAGAGATCCTGGGGGCAGAGACTGCTTCTGAGTTAGGTGAACTTTGGTGCCTCATACTTTGTCTCACACAGAGTTACTGAACAATGAATTTCTTATATTAATTAATGACTATTAATCATTATAATTGGTGCCCCTAGAATTTTGAATAGTCTCTCATTATGTTGTTTACTAATTTTAGAGCTGGCAGCTATAATAGAAATGCAATGATCTTATAAAACCACCCTATTTGAAATTTCTCCATGTCCCCTGCATTCCCAATTGCATCGACAAATGGAAATATCAAAGCTTTTATTTTAGGAAATAATTAGTTTCTTTTCCTAAACCGAAACATGGTTCAAATAATGAGAACAGGAAAGTCTACAGTATGGAAGAAAGGAGTGGTATAGAGATAAAGTAGTCTCCAAAATGCAAAGAAATTAAAGAACATTATATATGAGGCTTCAGGAGCAATAGGAGTTTCTTTCAGTGAACCAGAGAGAACAATTTAACTCAAGAAAGAGAAGAGGCCACAGATGACGTGGAAACAGAGTATTCTCCAAAGGAGGACACGGTGACAGCTCCGGGTGAATCCTTAAACCTTAGGTTTTAATGCAGAAGATGGCAGGGAGATGGCCAGTCCTGTATTGTTCCTGGAAATGCAAGATTAATGCTATTAAATCCAACAGTGGCTGTATCAGAGCTATTCTGCCAAATTGACATAATAAATCTAGATAAATCACCGAGTGGAGGGCAGCTCAATGAGAGTTTTGCAGGAACTCAAGGGTGAAATTAGCTCACTGGAATGTATTGTTATGCAAGCGACTGTGCCAGATTGCAAATGTGACCCCTGTCAGGAAGAAGGATTCAGGGGTGGCTGAGTTCAGACCTTGCTCAGTCCTGGCACCGATAAACCTTAAAGGAGTTCGAGGAGTGAGCGGAGATGACTGACTCCACAATGGAGAATGGGGGCTCTTAAAACTGTTAGATACAAATGGATCTTTTTTTTTTTTTTTAAGAACATTTTCAGTAGATATAGCAGGGTGAAAAAAAGGGTTGGGGGGAGGGGAAAGTAAGATTTTCTACAGGTCTTTGACAAGATTCCATAACAAAGGCTATTACTTAAGGCCATCTTGGCATCAGGGTCCCTATTTTTGTGTGACAAAAGAAACAAGGGGTAGAGAGAAGCTGGTTGCATCCCAACTGGAGAAATGTAAGAGCTATTCTCTTTGGAAATGGTCCTTAATCGGGGCGGTTTGATTCACGGACAGTCAGTGAAACCCCTTCCACGTCTAGGAAGTGGGAAGGCAGGCTCTGGAGGCTGGATAACGGGAAGCTTTCAGGAGCCTTGTGCAAATGGGCAGGAAAGTGGCGTGCGGTTCCGAGGCGAGTGTGTCCCTGCAGCGCCTCCAGGAGCCAAGCAGGCCAGCCGAACGCCCGGGATGCTGGCCGTGGGCCACAGCTCAGGAAGCAGGCCTGCCCCGGTGCGCCCGGGAGAAGGGACATACATTGTCCCCCGTGCTGCAGCCGGCAGCCCCGGCAGGGCAACGCGGGGAGAGCGCTGCGAGAGGTCGGTGCTCTTCTCTCGATTTTAGAGAGCGCCGTGGCCGCGCACCTTCCATCTCACGGGCGGCGCTGCCGCCACCCCGAGAAAGACGAGTCACAGCCGGAGGGGTCTGAGGCTCTGTACTTCACTGAGGATCAGTAATCAGTGACATGACCACATAAGCTTTTCTTTGTAAATAAAAGCTGCTAGTGCAGCTGATGTTTTAATAGTGTAAAAGATACAGCAAAAGCTTTAAAAAGATACTATTAGCCTGTCATTTTTTATTAAAAGAATAATTTAATTTTTAATGCAAAATTTTTACTTATTTTAATATTTTCTTTTTCAATGCAGAGTGAGAACACAATGCATAAATCATACTTTACTGTTCCCCTCCCCCACTATTTGTATTTTGGCATAATGGGATATATTCCATCTGTAAGCCGATTACCCTGAAGGTTTTGCTTACCCAAACTTTACTTTCCTGTTCTAGCGTGATATAAAAAAATACCCAATTATATGGTTATATTGGTGTTTAAGTAATACCTAAAAGGGCGTTTAAGAGAACCAGCAAATTATCAAAGGTACAAACTGAAATTGCTTCATAAATCAATGTTTCTTTAAATCTTTTATTTCCCTTTATACTTTGTTTTCTCACTCTGAAAATTTTCAAATTTTTCTGAGGGGCAACTAATTGAAAATGGAAACAAAAAAAAGCACCACCCAGCCGGGCATGGCTCGGTGGTTGGGCATCGACCTGGGATCCAGGAGATGGTTGTTTGATTCCCGGTCGGGGCACGTGCCCAGGTTGCGGGCTTGGTCCCCGGTCCGGGGCGTGCAGGAGGCGGCCGATCGACGACTCTCTCATCATTGATGTTTCTGTGTCTCTCTCTCCCTCTCCCTTCCTCTCCCTGAAATCAATAAAGATAAATTTTTTAGAAAAGAAAAAAGCACTTAATTTTGGGTTACTATAAAGAGATTTATAGAGTGTCTGTCTTAAAAGCATGGATTACTTCAAAGTTTGACTCATCATAAAAAAAAAGTGAGTAACTGCATTATGCTGTGTTTCCCATGAGTTTATAGAGACAAACTGATTTCTTCTAACTAAGAACATATTACCTTTAGGGCAAAGTTGACGGGGTGGGAAAATCTGCTTTGACAAGAAGGAAAAATAACAAATAGATGTGGCTAGGTCTGAGATGCTAGACTGAATCCAAAAGAGAATGTACATTTTCTCCAAATTGCTAAGAGTTTCTCCAAGTTGAAATTAAAGAATCCTATTATAAATTTCAAGTCCTCGAAAGTGAGATCTGAATTCTGACTGATTTTTTTTTTTTTTAACAAGCTGGAGGAATTTTCTCTATTTAAGAGCTCAAATCCCAAAGCTCTTCTACCAACACATTTTACAAAAACATCAGTGAGCGTTTTTGATAAGCAAAGGCACAGCACTCAAACTGCTCTATCATGTCCTCCTCTGGCTTCTTTACCTGGGAATTATTTGTTCACACGGATCACTCATTTAGTGACTCAAAAGACATTTATTGACAATGCTTAAGAGGCTGGGGCTATTTACTCATGGTCTTTTGGGGAGAAAAGTGAAAAACAGTTAATTTTAATACAACACCTTTTCATAAAGGGCAGGGACCTCGTCTTATTATTCATCCCCAGCCTGTCATAGCATCTGGCACACAGCAAGCTTGCGCTCGCGCTCTCTCTCTCTCTCTCTATATATATACACACACACACACACACACACACATATAAAATTAATGAATGCACTAGTAGGAAGAAACTTTCTGAATTTCCACTTAAGTTTTAT